CTGTGTCTGAGGAGACACCACAGGTCATGTGCCTCTGGCCTTGCTCCCCTCCTCATGGTAGTACACTCCTGAGGCTCCTTCTGAGCAAAACTGATCTAACTAGAACTCGGCATATATAATTTCGTCATCAAGTCAATACACAAGATCAGGTTGTGTGAAATAGAAGAAGAAGCACATCCCCACATGTTACCTATCGGAGCGAAACTAGTGTGCTGACATCAGCCTCCCCCAGAAATCACTTCCATAGCATCATAACCAAAGTAGTCAATGGGTGAACTTTAGATTTTATTCTCAGGTATATTGAAGACTTGATAGTTATCTAGGAAGCCCTTTCTTGAGGACATAGTGGTAGCAAGAGGCAGAGACCCTTGACCTTGTTTACATAGAGCTGGTGCTTCCCTAATTCCAAACCCCATGCCAGTTATGTACAGGAAGTCACCGATTTGCATCTTGGTAGGTAGTGGGGAATGACGTGCATTCTCTGAAAACCTGAGGGTCAATGTGCTCTTTCCCACTTGAGAAGTGAGAAGGAGTCTTAGACGAGCTGGGCATTAATAGCGAGTCAGAGTGACTGTGTGTCTGTCTTGGCCTGCCTGCACCCCCCAACCCAGGACGGAACTGTCAGGCTGGCTCACAGTGAAGTTGGTGATTTTTTTTTTCCCCAAATGTCTCTATAACACTTTTATATAGGTTAATCATTTATTCAGAGTGTTTACTTAACAAATAAATGTCTGAAGTCTAAGGGAAAGCCTAATAGCTGAAGGGAATATGAGTTTATAATACAGATTCTTAATTATAAAACAAATCTTTCTGCCCAGCAAATACATGAAACAGCTATCAAGAAAATGAAAGTTGTACACAAAACAAGTATTTTCTCATCTCTTGGGGCTACTGCTGCATTTAATGGAGAGAGAAAGAGACAGAGACAGAGGGGGTGAGGGAGATATTTTTTTTTCTCTATGTAAATCAGATTTAAATTCACGCTCTCCTGAAAGACTCGAAATTTGAGGAAAGGGAAGAAAGCTCTTATCTTCCTTGCACTGTATAAGATACAGTAAGAAAATACATAAAAAAATTTTTCCCATATAATGTGAAATATGTGTGTGTGAGAATATAAAACACTATACAAAATAGTCCTATCTCAAATAGGTTCTAAAAAAGTTAAAAAATAAAGCTAATTTTTATAAATGTTTGTCTGCACCTGGGGAATCTTCTCTTCATCCTGATACCCAGCTTGGGCGGGGCGCGGGTGGGGGAGCGGTGTCTTAATGTAGAATTTTTAATTCCCTCCTTGGTGCTTTTTGTTTGCTTTTTTCTTCATTCATTGTATGATCTCAGATCACACTCTGTCAATGGTAGGTGGTCTGCATGTCACCACACCACAACCTCCACCTTGTCATCCAGTTTTACACTATAGTCCACTCATCAGGCAGCCCCTCCCCCCCCAACCCAGTTAGCCTCAATTCTGCAGTCAGAGTTTAGGATTTATTGTTGCTGTGCAAAGCTTTTCAGATTTCTATATTCCCTTCTTTTGCTTTTTTGCCCTTGTTTGCTGTCGATGAATCTACAAGACAATCTGAGTCTGGTGTTATCTTCAAGGTTTCAGGTCTTCCATTCAAGCCTTTACTCCATTTTTCAGTTAAATTTTTAATATAATGTAAGAGTGATTTATTTCACTCCTTGGCTCTCAACATGATTCCTTGAGAGTTTCTACCCCCTGGTTTTCTTTGTCACAGATTAACTGTCCATAAACGTATGAGTTCCTTCTAAGCTCTCCATTCTATTCCATTGTTCTGTGTGACTGTTCTTATTCCAGTACCACACTGTAGTGATGACTACAGCTTTGTAACATAGTCTGAATTCTGGGAGCGTGATCCTGCCTTTCTTCCTCACTGTTGTCAGAAGAGCTTTGGTTACTTGTGTTCTCTTCTGGTTCCATGTAAATTTCAGTAATGCTTTCTGGATTTCTTGGAAGAATGCTGTTGAATCATTGATAACAATGTCATAGAATTTGTGTATTTGGGGAAAGTAAGTCAGCCTGAGACCACATGGCTTGCAGATTTCTGTCTCACCCGCTGCTCTCTCTCTCAGCAGTGTGTTCATCCATCTTCCTGTTCTGCTCCCAACTCTGTCTCTGGTGAATCCTCTCACCTCCCCTGCATCCCAGCTCTGATGCATAAATAAACAAATCTAAAAAATGGCCTTCATATCATTGGCAGGGAGTATCCTTCCATTTCTTTGTGTTGTCTATCTAACAATCTTACAGCTTTCATTATACAGGTCCTTCATGCCTTTTAAGTTTACTCCTGAGTATGTAATACTTCCTGCTGTAATTTTATGTCACTGTTTTTATGACTTTTTCTCTTCAAGCTCACTGTTTGCACCGAGGAACACAACTGATTTTTGTAGATTGATTTTTCTAACCTGACATTGGATGGACTGTTTGGTTTGAAATTTTTAGTGGAGTCCTTAGAATTTTCTGTGTATATTATTTTATGCATAAATAAGGATCGTTTTTTCTCCCAATTTGGTTTACTTTACTTTTCTTTTCCCTGATTATCTTAGCTTAATATTGCAATTCTTGCATTGGAAGTCATAAAAGTAGATATCCTAGGTTTCTACCTGATGTTACATTTACAATGATGATACTACAGTGATGATAGCTGTTGGTTTGCAGTATTGACCTTTATTCTGCAGTGATATATGCCATCGACACACATTCTTTTGACTACTTTTATGATAAATGAATGTTGAATTTTACCAAGTTACTTTATGCATCTTTTGACAAAATTATGATTTTTTTTCTTTAGATGGAGAAATACATTGATTTTCAGGTATCATACAATCTCTACATCCCGTGTGCTCATGTGTGATGTTGTTAATGCACTGTTGAAACTGGTTTGCTAAGGTTTTGTTGAGGACTTTGTCATCTATATTTGTTAGGGAAAGCAGTTTTTCTTTCTTTGTAACACCCATGAGTCTTAAGGAGTCAGATTATTTTCAAATGTCTGTGTTTTGTTTCCTATGCCTCTTCTTCCACCAGGGCCCTCCCTGTATTACCATCTTTGAGGGAACTGATTCCATTCTGTGTCCATTGCTTTTCTTCAGAATTTTTAACCTTCTTGACCACCATTTTACAGCTTAAAGTTTGATATATGTATATATATTTATATATATTTATATATATTTATATATATAATTCATATATTTATTTATGTATATAATTTATATATTTA